TTCTTCAACCGACTAATTGCTATTCTGACCTCATCTTGGCTAGGTGGTATACAATCTATACCGTCATCTCTAATTGGTTCTGGGGTATCCTCTTCACCGCCACTATTTGATACCAGAAGCTTTACAAAATGCTCCTTCTAGATCATCAACACGTTATTTGTATCTGTCAACAGGTTTCCTTCGTTATTCCTACAGGAGGATGTGCCCGCATAAAGGCTTTCGGTTTTGTGTTTTACTCGTTGGTTGAATTTCCGGACTTCCACTGCTGTACATCTCAATTTGCCCCGCTAACGTTTTTCTTGTTATTTCTTCTTTTTTCTGAAAATTCGTTTCTCCTAACTTCTTTTCTCCCGACAATTCTCTCTCGCATTGCGTGTTGCTACTGTTTGCAGGGTTTGCCCTATACGTTGTGTTTTTCACCTCAGTAGAATTACGACACTCCTGATCATACCATGGGTTTCTTTGTTGGTGGTCTTTGGTATCCATTGGTTGCTTTTGTAGGGAGTGAACAATTCTTTGCCGTTGCATTTCTATATTATTATTGGGAGAAGGAGTGATTTCGACTAGCAAGTGTTGAGCAGATGTTCTCTTCCGATTTTTGCATTAAAATCTCCTAGCAGTATTTTAATTATATGACGATTATATGATGTTTCTAGGCGCTCGTAAAATATGTCTTTTGGTCTGTTCATCTTTGTCTTCCGTCGGAACATGGGCGTAAATATGTATAGCAATTCGCTCATCTACTGGAGTGAATCTGGAGACAAGGACTTTTATTCTCCTATTAACCATAAATCCGCAGCGCACATTTTAAATACAGATTCGCAGATTGGGGAGTTTGGTTTTTTTTCGTTGCATTTTCATAGTAGGATGAGTTTTCCGATTAAGGTCAACTAACCCGACACCTCAACCTAAATTTTTTATAGTTCTTATGGGTGAGCTAACGACACATATCAGATCACTATTTCAATGGGTTAGCTACTTAACCTAAGTGACACCGCTTGGAGGTCAGTATCCACAATTGAGATGAAAGAGGGACCGAGATAAGTCTGGGTTTTGCCAGTCAATCAAAGCCGTTGCTTAGTACCTCTCATCCCCTACGTCACCCTCATATCCACCGTTTAGCCGATCAAAAATGGACCACTTTTGTCTATGAATGAATCAGGGATTATTTTTAATTATTTCAAATTTCTTTGCATCAATCGACAGGAGCCTTTCTTGAGCTATTGTCATATGGTAGGGAATCCAATGAGAACATAAATTTTTTATGATCAGGTGTCCCTGAAATATCCAATACATGCTGTTGGAAGGAATTCCCCGGAGAATGCCTCTTATTTTACATGTCACACAGGCATTATTAGCTCACGCCCGGCGTTCATTATCTTTAGCACATAGGTCGTTTTTCGACAACCTTTACAATCTTCATTTGTTAGAGACGCGTCGGAATTCATTAGTCCCGAATATAACAATGATATGAGATGTTATTTCATCGCCTTCGAAAGATTTAAAGTGCACTCTTGTCATTACAATCCCCGTTGAAAGTTAATTTCATTTTTTTGGCAGATTGTTTCATCAAGTCACTGAAAACAACACAACACATGGTCGTACGTTAATTAAAGAGAAGTCCTTATTTTTGATGGCGGGCATAATAACTCCTCACTAGAACATCTGAATCCGGAAATTCCAACGGTGTTAGAAAGAGTACATGTCTGGCTCTCATATGAACTAGGATTATTGTCTTCGCTCTAAAATTAACAAAATGGTGGACCTTTGAAAAAATATTTTTGGAAAATCGCCAATTTTTGACCAAAAACCAAGTTAAAAAATAAGGTATATCTTCACCGATTGGCTTTATCCTATTTCATACGATATATACAGAGAAACGTGTAAAAATTTGGAATCGATTGGGTTATTAGTTTTTGAGTTATCGTGCCCACAATTCACAAAAAAAAAAACGCATTTAAAGTTTGAGAAGCCCTTTAGCCGACACTTGAGGCTGACACAAAAAATCGGCTATATCTTCAAGAGTTCTTGAGATTTTCACTTGAAATTTTATAGGGACATTCTTGAATTAGTGTATATTCAAATTTAATCAACAAAAAAATTCACCCCGAGAATGGCGGGGTCCCCTTAAACTAATCAATTTAATTGCCATACACTGATTAAAGTTCGTCGATGCACTCTCGCGATGATAATCCATGTCGAAAATAATCGCTCGAAAATGTTCTAGAGTGAATTCCACTTTTTTTGGTAAAAATTTATGTTAATAGCTACTGTAGACTAAAGAAAGCATTTGCCTTTTGTACATTTAACCAGTGAGCGGAGCAGTATACTCGGACGTGGCCGACCATATGATACGCTACACAACTTCCACGAAAATCTAACTTTGTGTGGTTCTATATTCTGATTTTGGGCAATATTTGCACTCTCTTGACCTCCACCGTGGGTTGAGTTGTTATGTTCGGATTTGAATTGTGGCCTATAGATCGGCTCGAAAAAAACCAAAAAAAAAATTAAGTTTTCGGTCCACTTCATCCCAATATTATTATCCGATCATCACTGAAAATTACAGGCGTTGTCCTTGACCATACCTGGACCCTCACCTGTAAATATTTAAGTGTAACTCCCACATCCGAATACATACGACAATGTAACTGGTATCAATTTGATGACCAACTACTCCTCTTGGATATATTGTCAACTTCTTTGGCCTATGTTATTCAGGGGTAAATATATACGCTATAGAAAATACAATTTTTTTAATTTTCACACAAAAGTCAGGGTCCATTTGACCCGCTAAATATTGACCGATCTTTATCAAAACCGGCATGCTTATTCTGTGGCCCGATCCCCTTCACCATGCAAAAATTCGATGTTGGGGCCATAATTGCGGCCTCTGGAGCGACCAGAAAAACCGACAAACATAAAGTTGTTGGTCCATTTCATCCCCTAAATATTTACCGATGTCTTCATTGGCCAGAACCCATCCTACATGCAAAATTTCGTGAAGATTGGTCCATAACTGTGGCCTGTATCGTGTTTACAAGTTATAATGGACAGACGGACGGACACACATGCTAGTCGAGATATGACGATCGGTATGCTTAAAGGTGGGTCTAGGACCAATATTTCGCGGCGTTACAAACTCTTGGGGCTGCACAAAGCTATAATACCCTGACAACATAGTTGTGTAGGGTATAAAAATTGGAGCCCTACAACTGTTTTTGTAATCTATAGTCTCTTCATTGCCCACTGTATTATAGAAAGAAAAATGTCTTAGCAAAATTGATGATTGCTTCTTTGAAGGAGCTGAATGTGTTTTAGCAATATAATAAATTGAAAGAATATGGCATATTTAGGTTTTCTGCTTGCAGATTATCTGATAACTTGCATACCTTTTGAATTTTGAAAAGATGGAAAAAGAAGTCCTTCTTACTTACCAGGAAATACCCTTAAGGCATATATGTACAAGGAAGTTAGTTATGCCATGTTCTGACGGGCATTCGAACAACGTAGTTCGCTCTCAGAATTACGTACATGAATTAACCCGTTCATACGACAATATTCCTAATTCATGTCATCAGAGTTTTTTATTTCAAACTTTTTGTTTCTTGTTTTACGCCAAAATTCTAACATATTTACATGAATCACATATGGATCTAAATAGAAAAATTAATTCTCTTTCTCCTGACTATAGTATGAGCCCATATCTATTTACTTTTAATTCATGTTTTACATTTTTTCTGAAAATATTGTTGTTTTCATACATTTTTATATTTTTTAAATTCAAATGTCACATATAAAAATTTGGAGAATTTTTTGTTTGAGTGTCCCCAAATTTGTTTCTTGTTTTGTACGCTAATTAGAACCATGGGGAAAGAAATTCACATTGCATTATGTAGAAAACAAAATTTACATCCTGCTGCATATATAAAAACTAGACAATTTTTTACTTTTCATTCATCATTTTCAATATTACTAAAAAAGTTTGAAAATTTTATAAATATTTTCAAGCTGTCAAAATTAATTTATTTTCGATAAATGCTCTCAGTTGTTAGGGATGGGACAAATTTCTTGGTGATTCAGAGAGTGATTCGAATTGAACTATGTACAAAAATCGGTGTTCGCTCAGACAATTTTGTATGGGGAACTAAGTAATTACTTCATAATTAAGGGTCGAACAACGAATGAGAGAGCGAACAACGCTCGTCTGTACATGGCATTAGAATTAATAATCCTACTTAAAAATTAAATAAAAACCAATAGCAACGAATTACATAATATCGTGCAATTGTTTGAAATCTCCCACTCAATAGAGCTCATCAAATGATTTCCTAGAAATTTGTGTAAAATCGAAATTATTACACCATTACTGCCGCCATCAAAGTCAAAAGTCATGACACGTGTAAGTTAATTATTATTGTATTTGTTGTTTAATTTTCCGATTGAATCAGAGAAATTTTTACAACAAAACAATCAATTGTAAATATTCAAACTAAATGAAAACGTGATATGGGTATTAGTGTTACCACTTGTTGGAACACCACTTTTAAATATATAAACAATGATGATGTGATTGTGAATTAAAATAAAATTCGTGGAAAATAATTATCTCTGTGACCGCAACTTTATTCCGTTGTAATATAATTATTGTTGTTACAAAGTTGAGGTTGACTTAAATGGGGATAAAAGAATCTTGTTTAATAATTTTTTTCACGAGGACTTTCATAATTTTTAAAAAAATATTCTCCGGACAAGTATCGAAGACTTAGCGCAGTTTTAAGGAAAGAAAATTTTTTAAGAATTATCAGATCCATAAGTGATTTTTTAAAAATATTTTCTCAATTCGAACAGTTTAATAATATATTGGATTTTTTGCCATAAGTTTTCCATAGGAAAAAATGCAATCTTAAAAACTTCTATATATCAAATCCTTCATATATTTCCCCCCAAAATTATATTCAGCTTCGAATTTTTATTAATTCTTCTTTTACTTGTTTTCTTTACAGGGTGGCTATCCAGCACGACTGAAAAAAGTTCTCATCGTAACGGCACCACTGTGGTTCAAGGCACCATTCAAAATTCTGCGCCTATTTGTTCGTGAGAAATTACGCGAGCGCGTTTTCACTGTATCAGTGCCGACGTTGAGCTTGCACGTGCCACGCCAAGCATTGCCGATACATTTGGGCGGTACCCTGGTAATAGATCATAACACATGGTTGCTGCATTGCCGCAAATCGATGACGAATCGTGAAGACGAATTGCTCGCCAATATTGGTGATTTGTCGCCAACAGCAGCTGTGGTCGTAGGTGGCACAATAACAGCCAATCAGAATAACCTAAACAATCAGCAACACATCACAAATACCGCCGGATTGGTGGTGGTGACCAACGGTGATTGTCAACGATTTCTGGCGGAACCCAACGAAAATATCACCACACAACAAATAGTCAACAATCAAGGTACCATCACATCATCATCCGCAGCAGCAACAGCGTCACCACTGACAAACGGTCATCATAACAGTACATCCACATCATCATCATCAACGACCTCCTCATCCTCAATTGCCAATAATTTAAATAATCTGAACGCAGCTGCGGCCGTGTTATCCAACAACAAATTGGTGGTGCTAGGTCTAGCCAACGGCAGCAGCAACGCTGCCACCACCATTAACGGTGATCACTTAGCAGCCGTACTTTCAACAAATTCGTCAGTCACATCACCGGTGGTGGTTAACGGCATAGCTACGGGTATCACAGCTATAAGTGGTATTGCCGGTAGTGGTGGAGGAGGCGGTGGTGGAGGTCTTCAGACACCCACATCAACAACGACTACAGCAACACCAACCGCCACTAATAGTAATAGTGGAACAACGGGTCTCAACGATTTCTGGACCGAGAACCCACCAAGTAGTGCCTCGTCGGGTTTTAGTGATGACGACAGTCTGGCTGGCCAAGAGGGTGATCCAAAAACAATTGAACAAATTGTTCAAATGGTAAAGGCACGAGGTCGTCAGGGACTGGTTAAGGAATATGCTGAAATACGTAGTCGAGCACCGGATGGCACATTTTTACATGCCAGGTAAGTAACAGTGTTGATTTTGGAAGAGACAATTGCTTAAAACGGAAGAATAAGTCAAAATATTTGAAATAAAATACTAACTAACTAGTAACATTCAAATCATGTCGTTATATTTGAATGTGTTTCCAATTAATGATCATAAAATTCCACATTTCAAATAATAATGTTTCTCGCCAACCATATTTTTTATACTGACTTTTCTTCCATTTAATCAATTGTTTTCCTTTTTTAAAATTCCCTTAATTTAATTTCCTCTCTTGTCTCTCTCTCTCCCACCTAGAATGCGCAATAACTTGACGAAAAATCGTTACACAGATGTTCTTTGCTACGATCACAGTCGAGTTGTTCTGTCACGGATCGATGGTGATGATGTGTCCGATTATATAAATGCCAATTTTGTAGATGGTTACAAACAGAAAAATGCATACATTTCAACTCAAGGTATGTCAATAATTTTCAGAACATTTTTAAATAAGAAAACAAAAAAATCCGAATAGTCAGGTGTTACAATGACACAACGAAAAAAATGCACCTAAAAAAACTTAGATAATGTCACGTTCAATTGTAATTTGGTATTCTATTAAGGAATTCGCATTGTAATTGTCTTCATTTACGTGGTCAAACATTAGATGGGGTGTGAGCCAACGTTTTTTGTGTTTATTCATTAAATTCTTAACTATCTTGGTGGAGACGCCTTTATTTATCTAAAATAAGAGCTGTAACACCAATGTTGACATGCAAATGCTTATGCAGGTAGTAAAAATACATTAACACATATTTTAGACAACTACCTCACATTTTCACCTTTTAAATATGTAACCTCTTATCAACCAGGTTGCAAGAGGAAGGTACTAAATTATAATAAAACTATATGACCCTCTAAAGAAACTAATCTCTGTGTATCCTTCGCATATTCTCCGTGTTTTAGCTAGCAGATGAGTTATGAAAGATGGACAGGAGTTATTACGAAAATTTAAGTATTTATTAATAAAACATTGCCTTCGGAATAAAATAATAAAGTTACTCGCCAATTTCATTTTTATTTTTCTTATATCGTCCTCTCGATATCTGAAAATAAGTCTGCTACAATCCGTACACCACACCATGTTTGCTCCGCCTACTCAAAAGCTCTTTGCCTGCCTTGTCAGTGGCATATTTAACAAACAGTTTCCTTTCTTCTTAAGCTTGCGCCAGCTACGCATTTCAAAACCGGAGTTTTGCTTCTCGATCAACCTCTATATTGAGGTCACCAACCTACACATGATCTCTCCAACTGGTACAACTGCCAGATTAATCCCAGACAATGTGGTTCATTGTGGTCAGAAGATTCCTTATTTCTACAGTTTATGGCCTTGACCTCCTTAATAGTGCAAATCCCACAACCAAACTCTAACGCTTGGTGGTCAACTTCGCCCGTTAGGAAAACGATCTTTAGATTCAGGTCGAGTAGCAAACAATGACTTTCACTGAATCACCCGACCTCCCTACTAGGGCAACCTCATCCTTAATAGGGCGAATCCTATAACCAAACTGTAACGGTTGGTGGTCAATCTCGACCGTTAGGAAAACGATCTTTAGATTCTGGTCGAATAGCAAACAATGACTTTCACTGATTCAACCGTAGGAAACAGTTTTGTCAATGATAGCTAGTATTTGGTCGTCCATTTATCGATTTGGCTTTTTAAGTGGAACCGATCAGTGGAACATCCGATTCCAAAAATTTCAAACGGCATTCGTAAGAGAACACTGCTAGGTTTTCCACTATCCTTCTTAGCCGCTATAGCAGAAGGTGACTTCATTGCAGCCGATTGCTGTTATGGCCTCGACCTCTTCATTTCCAAGAACTTTCAAAGGAACAGCTGAAAATGTTGTGGTTTCTGCGAGCCTTTATTCTTCCTTCTGGTCTATTAAGTTTGAGTCTATGGTTAATTTTAGTTAAAATAAAGGTTGTAGCCTAAACTAATGATGTAGTCTTTCTAGTCAGTGGGAAGTTTCTGCCGACTATTTCCGATATGGATAGTGACTTTTCGACTCTGTCCATCTAGGCACATGCATGCCAATGGTCTTGGCGTAAATCCCACTAAGACAGAAACTGTCCTCTTCACTAGGAAACGTAAGATTCCATATTTCCGCTTACCATCTTTGGGTGGAGTTACCTTATCCCTTTTTTGAGATGCAAGACACCTTGCATCCTCGACCAGTAATTTTGTTGTACTCTCCATTCTTACATATGGATGCCTTGTATGGTGGCAAGAGGTCAACAAGAAGATACTGCTGGCTAAAATTAATGCAGTACAGCGATCGGCTTCGATTCTGAAAACTGGAGCGCTAAGAAGCACACCACAAGTAGCTTTGAATGCAATCTTGAACCCCCAACCATTGGACTCTCTGGTTAAATTCCAAGCTGCTAGATGTGCCCTGAGGCTCAGGGAATCGGATGACTGGAAGTCGCTGAACTTTCGCCACGCTAGCTTATGGGCCAAAGATGGAGGAAGGTACTGGTGCAGGCGTTTACTGCAGGGAACTAGAAATTTTTTAACTCATATAAACTATCTTTGCAGCGTTTTTCAAGCAGAAATCCTGACAATCACAAAAGCGGCTGAGATAGTCATAACACTTACTACCGATAGTCAGGCGGCCCTTAAGACTTTAAAGTCGTGCACTATTACTTCAAAAATGGCTCGTAACTGCAAGGTTGCTCTTCATGATGTAGGACGGATTGTTTAATTAGGTTGGGTTCCAAGACAGAGATTGCCGTCGAGCTTGCTCGAGGGGGTTTACAGTCTTCCATATCTTTAAGAGATATGTACAATCGCCCAATGGCTATTTTATAGGCAGAATTCGTTTGAACTACTGCGAGGTAGTCGGCAACAGATGGACAAGCGAACCTGGCATTCTTCTCCGGAATAGACCCCAAGCAGATCCTAAGATTTATTAAGACTTTCACATGGCTAAAATAAGCACTTTTCTCAGCTCTCCAACACCCACTATCTTCTATCTTTTCCATTTTCTCCTCTCTTCTCATGTATTAAAGATGATCACAATGGACAATAGTGACTGTAGTTGCCAAAGTGAAGAGTCTAGGTATTCGTGTCAGAGTCCAAATTTTTCAACAGTTTTTTTTTTGCTCTTGTGACATTTGCGACTGGAGTTGTTGGAGGAGTCATATCTAATTCGATCGCAAACTTTGTTTTTTTTTTAATTTAAGGGATTTTGTTTTAAAGCTTCAGAATCCATGCGCCACCGAACAAGTGGAGGAAATTATGTCGACCTTCCCCTAATAGCATCACATCTATGGGGTCCTGTGATACGAGGACTAATATATATATTTCTATCATAGGCAATACTTTACTTCTGTTAAAATTTTTTACATTTTTAAGCATGAACGTACGGTTTGATTAAAAAATACGTGTTGTTTCATGTGGCGACTGGTCCGCTTGAATAACTTCGGACGGTCAATTGTAAGTGGAACACTATGTTTGTTTCCTAAATCTATGATGAGGTCTATAATTGTGAATTTTTTTGGTAAATTTCCGGATGCCTAAATTTATTTAAAAATCTAATTTCTCTAGAATGTTTTTTTTTAATCTTGTTCAGCTTTTAATTGAACTCGCCTTTATTAAGCTCATAATCTTGACATGCCTCTTTTTCTGTTATTTTTTATAGAAATGCTAACTTAATTAAGCAATTCTTGTCCGCATAGAATTTACAATAATAACAACGTCCTTATACTAAATATAGTATATGTGTTGGCACATGACAAAGGACGAACAAAAAAATCAATACTTAAACATTCTCTACGTAGAAAACTATATAAAGAAAAATGTAGAATAATAGATACAAGGACGGTCATTAACATAAAACTAAGATATAACAATTGCAAACGAGCGAATGTATGTGTACAAGGTGTTCAAAAGGGGAAAAGGAAAATTGAATGGAAATGGAAAAATTATGATGTGCCGGAAATAAAAACCAAAAAAGAACCAAGTCGACGTCTGAGATGTGGCAATTTTATTAATGTATAAATCAAGGTCCAAGCTAATGCTATTTGTGGGAAGCCTAGCTAAGCCAAGCCAATGGTATTTAAAGCATAATAAGATTAGGATAATAATAATTAAATTTTTTGTATATAAAATCGAAGCTGAAAGAAAGGAACGTTTCTTAACTATCTTTATTTCTAATTACATTATGTGTATAGCAACAAATATTAACCGAGTAAAGGTAATAATTTTTATAAATAGCCATTCACACAATATGCATGCAAAGAGGAGGGGAGTAGTAGTGGTCACATGAATGACGCTATCTCTTGTGTTATTATTTTTATAACTCAGGTGGTATTATTCCAATGTACTCATCATTATTGAGTTCGGGTGATAAAACTAAAATAATGAAAAATAAACGGCGACAGCAAATAAAATCTATTCGTGGCAGTGGCAAAACAAAAAAGCCATTAATGATAGCAAGCAATAAATAAATGTCCTTGTGTGTAGGTGGTGGTGGTGGTGTTGCTGATGGAAAACACGTTAGTTGCTTGTATTCCTCTTGTATTATTTGTGATGGCTACTACATACATATGTATTTAACAAGATATTTTATTTATTTTATTTTTATTTATTTTATTTATTCAATTCATTCCATAATACTAAAGCCTTCAAGGCCAATAAATAGTATTAACAATCATAACATTCCAAGTAGAACTTATAAATTAACAACTATATAGATATAACCTAATTACATATAATATGTTATAAAATAATATAATTGGCTCCCCAGCCATAACAAAAAAAAATATTCAGCTAAATAGATGCAAGTACTCACCACGATAGCAACAAATATAAACAAGATTTAGTTAAAGAAACAAGACAGACTTAGAATATATATTGAATATTATGTGATTCAAAAGAAGAAAAAAAATATGAATGCTGAAAAAATTCATCATTGAATAATCACCGCTGAAGTTTAAAGTGGTTCATTAGTTTTACTCTGAAAGAATTATTGGAGTGTGAAAAAAGTCTCAGTTCCACAGGTAAATAATTCCATATCCTTGCAACACGTATTAAAAATGATTTCTCAAAAGAAGAGTAAAATATCCTAGGTATATAAATTTGTGTACTTCGCGACGAAGATATAAAGCCAAACATATTTGCTAAGGATAGAGGTACACCATGCTTGATTATCTTATAGAAAGTGAATAGCAACTTACTAGAAAGAAAATGCTCAAAATCAACTCCCAATAATGTTTCAACATAACCAGATATATGTTCACGTCGTTTTAATCCGTACACAAAACGAGCAATACAGTTTACTATACGTCTTAACTTAACAACAATTCGATCAATAGTGCCAGAAACCACTTCTAAACCATAACTAACATGGGGCATCAGCAACGCAAATGCTAACCTTTTTTTCACCCATGATGGAAGAAACAAGTTAGAAGAGTA